GCACTCTATCTTCTTCCTCTGCTAGTTGTTTCTTCCTGGGAGTGCCTTGCCTTTTCTCTCTCTCTCCCCCTCCAATAATCACAACAATGAAAGTGAGAGAAAGTAACAACACGGTATAAAGACTTTTTTCTCCTCTCCTCTTTCCCTAATTTTATCCCTCTTTTTCAACTCCACTTTTCTGATTCTGCCTTACGTCTCGACACCATACCATTTATTTATTTTATTATACAAATAGCATAACATTTAATTATATAAATCCATTATATTTATATTATATTACAATCATCATGTTTAAAATAGAATATTTAGTGAATAAATATAAGGGGAGACGATAAACATGGTATACATATTCAATATTTCAATTAGTGTTTTTAAATTATTTTAATAAAAAATTACATAAAATATAATAAAAATTTAAAAATGCTGTTATAATAATATTTTATAATGCAATTTGTAATTTTTGAAATATTTTAAAATATATTATTCTAGATAAAATATTTTTCGTCTACAATATAAATACCGATATAATCTAATATCAATGGAGATGTTTCTCCCCTCCAATAATACAAACAATGAAAGTGAGAGAAAGTAACAACACGGTATAAAGACTTTTGTTCTCCTCTCTCTTTCCCTAATTTTATCCCTCTTTTTCAACTCCACTTTTCTGATCTGCCTTACGTCTCGACACATACCATTTATTTATTTTATTATACAAATAGCATAACATTAATATATAAATCCATTATATTTATATATTACAATCATCATGTTTAAAATAGAATATTTAGTGAATAAATATAAGGGGAGACGATAAACATGTATACATATTCAATATTTCAATTAGTGTTTTTAAATTATTTTAATAAAAAATTACATAAAATATAATAAAAATTAAAAATGCTGTTATAATAATATTTATAATGCAATTGTGATTATTTTGAAATATTTAAAATATATTATTCTAGATAAAATATTTTTCGTCTACAATATAAATACGATAATCTAATATCAATGGAGATGTATTATAATATACAAATCTCATATTTTTATATCATCGCTAGCTCATTGAAGACTTGTAAATAATTACTATATTTTATGATTTGAAAAGGCAGAGCTCACAATCCACCGTCCTCCCCGTCACACCTCTTTCCTCACTCTTTCCTGTTCCATCCATTTATCCTTCCCCTTATTCTCTTTTTTTATTATAGAAGATCCATCCTTTTCTTCTTCCTCCTTCTCTTGACGTTGATATTTTTGTCTTATTTGTTAAGTTAATATTTTTTATTATCCTTTTAATCATTTTGTACATTAAGACGATCGAATAATATCTTCGTAGTTTAGATCTCAGAAGAGTATGGTTGAGTGTAGGGTATTTGGAGCCTTGCACCTTAGGAAGTCATAACCTTTTACATAACTTATGACAAGTCCAACTTGATCTACCAGAACTAAAATCAATTGACAGTCGATCGTATCAACCGAGTCTATCTATTTTGTCAACCTATGAATAATCATTATAGTATTATGTTTGACATCAACACTAAAAATTATTATAAATCTCTCGGTCAAGACAAAGAGAGAAATACAAATTTTAATATATTTCTTACTTGCAATGAATGAGATGTTTATTCTAACAAAATGTCTAAGTCAAACATTTGATTTTCAACACGAAAACTTTAGATTTGTTTTGCATCTTCCAAACAATGGTTGAAAAATAAGGTACCCCATTTGTACAGTTGTATATTTAGTTTGAAAATTTTCCTTCTCTCTATATTTTTTAAATATTTGTTTTATTAAAAAACTTAAAAAGTTTTTTTGAGTTAATTAAGTTTCTATTAGTAAATTTCACGAGTACCGAAATTCAAATAAATTAATTGATTAGTTTACTGCATCATTCTACAGATTTTACTCTTTCCTTTACTATTTGGGATGAAAAGCGCTCCTAAAGATTGGATTTCATGCATATATGGACGTGCAATCAAAAGACAACTTGACAAGCTTAATTCCTACAAAGTCAGGATTTAATTGTAAATTAAAGCAACAAGTGATAACAAGCCAAAGTCTCTATGTTTATGTTCGATGAATTCAAAGCATACATTATTTGAAGCTAATGATCAGACTATACCTCTCATTTGTTGATACAGTGTATAAAAATAATCAAATAATTAATAGATTAGCAATTATAATTGATTTATCTAAGTAAGTTGTTAAAGCTGTCTAGAAATGACAGAAAGTTTAATGTGTCTGTGTCACCCCTTACCTCACGTGCAAAACAGATTAGGTATGTCCTCCAAATCCCATAAGTAATTATTAATTAATCATCGACCACCTCGATTTATGTTTCTAAGTATCCACGTTGCTACAGTTAATTAGCTGCTAATTTCGCGTCTTTAAACAATACCCAATTACCCATGTTCATGCACCTTGACTCTTGACTCTTAACTCTTAACTTACGAAATTGTTTTTATTACAAATGATGATTTGTTTTTACTGGTGATTCATTGAGTTATTATTCAATGATGCATTGTAAGAACATTCAATGGCAATTACAGTAATCACTTCAATGTATTCTCATCAGATATTTATTGGTAGACTTATTTAGATATGTATACAAGAAATATTTTAAAAAATAGTTTTAGAATTATGATAAATATTTTATACTAATTTTTAAAAAAAATAATATAACATTTTTTATCACTCCAAAAGCAAGTGTGATTACTTGGATGACCATACTTGATAGGCTTCCAACTCGGGCTAGACTCTCTCGGATAGGAATTCCAACTGATGGATTATGTGTTTTCTGCAAAGAGGAAACTGAAACTATAAATCACTTGTTTGCAGGCTTCAACTTTGCTAAAACCCTGTGGAACTCAATATTGCAGCTCACTCATTTGCACAAACCCACATGTCATGGGCACGGCTTGTTTGGTCTTGTAAAGAATGGAAAGGTAAATTTCTCATCTCCAATGTTTTGAAGCTTGCATGGAATACTTATATCTACTTGATTTGGGAAGAAAGAAATAGAAGAATCTTTCAAAATAGAACTAGAGACGTGGATCAACTTTTGAAGAACAACAAGGAGTTTGTCCGAATTCAGCTAATTGGTAGAAATATTAATAGACTTGATGAAGTTAATTCTATTCTCTGTAACTATTGAAGTATAGATTAATTTTTGGTTGTACATAATCGGTATACTCCCTTATTGGGAAGTTTTGTAGCATGTAATGCTTCTTTGGATAATAAAATTCAATTATCTAAAATAATAATCCTTACTATATGTGAAAGGGTTCGTTTTGGACCGAACTCGAAAGTGTATATTGATGATGGGCTAACCAAAAAAAATGACCATTAAAGGCTATGTAACGTAGTAGGTTGGTCCTGGGCTATTCCCTTGAAGCTTGGAAATTAGGAAGGGTTTTTTTCTTATTAAGTAATTTTAACGTGAAATTCTATAATCTAAATAAAAGAATAAATGAATTTTATGTTATGATAAGATTTTTTTATTAAATGCATTATATAATTATTTGATACTTGATGATAGAGATTTTAAATATGAGTTATGATTTTTTTTTATATTCATTTAATGAACATGGAAAAATTGAGTTGAATGGAATCTAAAAATAGAAAACTTCACATTAAATCTAATATGATTATATTTTTTAAATTTAAACATTGATAAAACTAGAAAAATTCGTGCCAATGATTTGAGAAAGTGTCAAATTTAAAAATAGATTAATAATTATTTGATATATTAATAATAAGAAAATATACCTACGAACCGTCTCCATTTATAATTATGATTTGAGAAATTCAAGTGTCCCCTAAATGTGTCAAAACGGACCGCATTGTATTTAAGAGTGGTCACTTTTCAAGTAGTATTTGTGCTTGGCGGAGACGTACTGGGATTTCTTCAACATTTTATTTTCTCAAAAAGCGTCGGTCGTTCCATTTAATGCAAAACAAAAGTTTCAATACGTTCCATAAACGACACTTCAATAAATCGAACTTTCAAGTCGGTTGACTTAGAAAATTCATCTTTGAGAATTTGTACCGATTATATAATAGAATTTCTACTACTTAAATTTCGATTTGAATCCAACAAATATATTTAAAGTTTGATTACATATTAAATATGTGACTTAGATAAATAATCCAACCATAGATTAATCTAAATGACATATATCACCATCTGAAAGCTATACTGCAAGCAGACGTAAAACCTTAGATAAATCATAGCTTTTATGATAATTGATTAAATAAACTACTTTATTTATGATTCTAGTTTTTATGTTTTTTTTTTGTAATATCAGAATTTTAATTCATATATGTTTGATGGACTTAATAGCTTATCCAGTTATCCTATTGTTTAATATATATATATATATATATATATATATATTTGGATTTATTTAAATATAATTTTTTATAATCTAAAACATTGGATTTAATTTAGATTAATATTCAAATATATTTAATTTTATGTGGATCTCTCACATCCACAGACGGAGTTAGCTAAGAAATAATTAATGTATGTGTGTACGTATGCCTTTATGTGGATGGTTAACTTTTTCTTCTCCTTTATTTTAAATACAAATTCACACAGCCACATTATTAATTTTAAAATTGAATATCCAATCTAAAGTTTTATTTGGTATGAATAAAACCGATAGAATAAAAAATTTATTAATCAAATTATTAAGATTTATATCTTATTTCTTATTTTAAATCATAATTTTCATCAATTTTATTTTTATTATTCTTTTTTTCCAGCGTAATATTTATTAATAAAGAAAAGACCTAAATTGCAAGTCTCATTAAGAACTTCTGTAACCTTAAATAGAGAAAAAAAGTACAACACAACTAGGTAGAAATTATAAATCAACAAAGAACAAACGCTTCACCAACGATCAACTTAAATGACAATCCCGGTAATAATTTCCTACATATTAACAGATTCCATAGAGTAACAAAGAAGGTAAAATCTGGTAGGGATTGAGACACCAATTAATTAAATAGGAGCAATTAAAGTAAATCAAAATAAGAACAACCCCAGATTAAGTACCACTAATAATTTCCTATATATTAACAGTTAAAAAGGGTACAAATAAGAACATGAAGCTAGAGCTAAAAGGGAGATGAACAATATGAATACATCCCATTTTACCTTTAGCGGAAATTAGAGTAAAATCATTGTTGATTTTCCCTTTGTTTCCATTCCAACCCTATGAACCTGCAAGGCGAACGCCTGACCTTATACTCTGAGATCGTCTCAAGTTTAGGCGACCAGCCTTGTTGTTTAGACCCGACCAGGGTCTCGTAACGCTTCTTCAGCTCCGGCGTACTGCAAAGAAAACCATTCCCACCATCGCTCCCAGTTTCATCTCCTTCCTTGCTTTTAGTAATCAAACTTGTTATAAACTCCGGCACCACTTTGATCAATACCCTACCATCGCCACCTTTAACGTACTCGAAAGGGCAAGCGCCGAAGTTGATCGGAGCAGGTTTAGGGCTAGACCTAGAGTTTAAGGCGGCGAGAGAAGAAGCTGTCAAGACATTGCATGCAAAGCGATCTAGTGGGAGAACGAAGTAAGTTCGGCCTGGAATGAGATGGTCGTCCATGGATAAAGCTGGGATGGGGTGACCGATGAAGAAAGAGTCCGAATGACAAACCATCTTGTCCGGGAACTCAAACATGACCTCGCCGGCGATGTGTTTTCCGGTTAGGGTTCTCGTGTTTCCTTCCCAGAATATCAGCTTCACTGAAGACATTGGATTTGAATGGAAACAAGGAGCTAATGAATTGCCCATCAATATATATACATATAAACAATACTAGGATCTGAGAGAAAAACGATGAATCAAATAGATTAGATTGATGTCCGTGTATATAGCAATCCGAGAAAACAAACAAGAGGAAAAGGTTTAATTTGGTAGTTTATAATATAGAAGGGAAGAGCTGAAGGATTGACTTGGATAAAGTCCATTTTTATTTTGTTGTAGTGATTGATGATATTAGTTGGCGGTCATTGGTCAACAATCCCGGCCCTCTCTCATACATCCACACATTTTTTATTTCAACTAATCCAAAATGTCACATTTTTCTTAATGGTGGTTAGCATTAATGTTCAAAGAAATTCAGATCGAAACTATAATAATAATAAAAGTATGGAAATTAGTAAAATTATTCAATTAATTTCCATGATAAACACGAACATTAAGTATGTTATGCGATAATGTGGAAGTATTGGGCAACTTTTGATTATGATATTCCAGTTACTTTTGTGTTCAAAGCTTGAATATGACCCATAACTGTTTCTATTACGTAGACTTAGATTTTACACTCCAGTTCTAATATTTAATTCTTATATTTTGTTAGCCGTTAATTCAATAGTAATGTTAATAATATTAATGAAGAAATATTACAATAACATAAAATTTAATAGGTTTATAAAAATCAAATCATTAAACTTTTAAAATCAACATTTAAATATGAATATAAGCAATTGTTTTAGTTGACATGAGATGTCATGTTTTAATCAGTAATGTGATTTGAACAATATTATTTATAAAATATGTGTGAATTTTTTTAAATAAGAAAAATATAATAATTATAATAAAAATATTAAAAAATAATATGACAAGCATGAATCAGGCGATTTCAGTGATTAAGAATTATTGTTATCCTATGAAGTCCTGGGTTTGAGTACCGTATATATCAAAAGTATAAACGTTTATTGTTAAATAGTTGAGAGTTTTTGAAAATATTATCTTATATTTACCTTAAAATTATGAAAAAATAATTTAAAATTCTTATGATTAAAAGATTTGTGTAAACCAATTATATATCTATGGTCTATTTATTTATCCATAACTATATATATATTGTTAATCGATTTTAAGTTACATGTTTTGAAATATATGTTCAAAAATATGTTATTATATTAATTTTAAGAATTATTTACTTATTCATTAATGTCGTATTAATCGCTTATAAGTTACATGTTAAAAGGTATATCTTCTATATAGTATTTAAAAAAAATATCATAACCTTATTCTATTTGATGCAATATTGGTATTACTGGAAAAAAAAGTAAGAAATTAAACTTTTAAATATGATCAAACGTTTATCCATAATACATATATATATATATATATATATATATATATATATATATACTGTTAATCGATTAACTTTAATATTTTTGTATTATTAAAATTATTTATATATTTGTATATGGTTTATTTTTCATATTATTAATTTCATTTCATAATTATTTTTTACAAAGATAGAATTTTAATAATATACTTTTTTTTAAATAATCGTAAATATTAGTATTTAAAAAACGTCTAAAACCTTCATTGGAAAAAAACCCCCTTCTAAAGTAGACTAAAAAGTTTTGAAAAGAAAGAGAATAAATCATTGTGCTTTTACATTTTTAGGGATTGAATTGAAATGAGAAAATATTTTGAGTATTTATATTAATAAACTTTATTTTATAGTTTAAATTTGATTTGATTTTGTAATTGAGTTATTTAAGTTTTTAATTAAATCTAATTATAAATATTTATATATGATATTATTTGATTTTAATTTAAATATTTTTTAGAATCATATACCAAGAGATATATATCTTTACATCTTTTTATATTTATCATAAAAAATTGAAGACCTCAACTTAAATTCAAAAACAATAAACTAATTATTAAAAAGAGATAGTATTTAAATTGTATTTATAACCCGATTCTAATTTAAAAAATATTCATAAAATTACAATTAAAAATTAAATCAAAAAATTTAAAATTGGATAAAAAAGGATCTATTTTTAGTTTTGCCCATCCTAATGGTGGCAACGAGGCGGGGTGGGGACGATTTTGCGTTACTCATTCTGTTCCCAACACTTGCGGGTATGGTTTTGGGGAATCTCCATTATATGTGTCGGAATCGTCTTTCGGTTGGATCCCAGAATTGGGCTTCGACTTTAATGAATTGGGCTGGAGTCGCCACCGACCATTTTAAAACGAATTTAGGTGAGTCGGACACCATCTTACCTGATCTGCGTTTTACCAGAAACGTTTTTTGGGGTCGGGAGTCGGTTACGGTAAGGATTAGCACTCTTGAACCGCCCTTTCGGTACAAATTAATTTATCGGTTGTCTTAGTTGCGAAAATTTAAAATTTAAATTTAAATTTAAAAGTATTCGATTATAATTGTTTACCTTTGATCGTTTGAAAGTTCAACTAAAATGTCAAAAATATTAGAGGATAAAATGAAAATAAATACAAGAAAATACTAAAATAAAATAGAAACATAGATAATTAAAAGTTAGTAAAATAAATAAATAAATAAATAATATACTAAAGTAAATAAAAAAATAATAAAAAAACAAATGAATAAAAAATAAAAAGTAAAAGGGTTAGTTAAAAATAAAAATGAGAATAAAAAAATAAAAAATAGAAACAATAAAAAATTTAAACTAAAAAACCGTGTAAGAGGAAAAAGAAATAAAATGAATTAACCAAGGAGTATGGAGGAATTAAACTAAATGATAATTAAACAGTGACTAAAAAGAAAAAAAATTATAAGGTAAAATTCAAACATCACCTAAAATACCAAACACGCAAAAAATAGTGACTAAAACGCAACCTTTATAAAATTACGAGATCAAAAAAAAAAAATAAATCAGTTAGTTACCAAAACAAAATATATGAAAATATAAGTGTCAAATTCGAATATTGACACAAAAACATTCAATAAAAACAGGGCTAAAATAAAAATTCTGGAAATTTAATGCTCAAATTAAAATAAGTTAAAAGTTCAATCTATTGCCAGAAAGCAACATTACACGGGATGAGGGACCCATTCTGTGATAAACCCCTAAGCAAAATTACAAGCCACCTCATATCGAAACTACGCCTATTCGTGGGGACTAAATATGGCCCAAACCAAGACCAAATTCACCTAGTTCTCTCATTTTACAAATTCTCATCCTTCTCTCTGCCCCCTCTCTATCAATTTCCCAACTCACCCTAACGCCGGCAACGCCAACGCCGCCAACCGTCGCTGCCGGCCACCGCGAGCGACGATTGTTAAAACCCGAATCACTCAAAACACTCCTCTCCACCCCGTAAACCCAAAATCGGAGCCAAAATTCCACAAAGTATCTTTGTGCTTCGCTATTTACTCGATTGTTTTTATTTTTTAACTGATATTTTGTGGTCATTTTTGTGTGGCTGTGATGTCTCTTGGTTTACTGTTGTTTATGGGGTTTCTGTGTTTGGCTTACTGTCGTTGGTAGTTGTGGCCGATGATGGCTTTTGCTCGATGATGTACGGTGTACCCTTGATGTTTTTGTGAGGTTCTCGGTTTACGGTGGCTATGGCCCCCCTTCTGCATGGTCTCACCGAGGCTTTTATAGCTCAGCTCTGGCCGTTCTTAGCCCCGAACGGTTGGGGTTGTGGCAGTTGTTGCGTGCATTTCGGAACGTGTTGGTTTCGCTTTTTGCTCTGATCGTGTTGCATGTTTGACCGGCGACATGCGATGCTTCTGACTCTTGATATCACCTCTGACTGCTGAGGTTGTTTTATGGCCGTGGATTGGGTCAGATCCAACGGTCTAGATTAACTTGTGCCTTTTACCCTTTCAAACGTTGGTTTGTGCGACGCCTTGACAAGTATTGGAATCCTAAACTATTGTTGGGTGATTCATGCCTGAAACCGGTTCTTTTGGACTGTTTTATTCGAACTTCAGTTTGGACTTGGACCCTGCAAAAATGAAAAACAAATAAAATTATAATAATAAAAATAAAAAGAGTAAATAAATAAACAATAATAATATATAAAAAATATTTTCCAAAATCTATATAACATAGTTTTTAAAAGTATTTTAAAATTATATATATATTTAAAAAAATGTTTTCAAAATATATAGTTTTCAGAAATATTTTTAAAAACTATATATTATATAATTTTTCAAAATGATTTCAAATTATATAATATATGTTCTCAAAATGTTTTTTAAACTATATATTTTAAAATGTTTTAAAAACGTAAATATATTTTCAAAATGTTTTAAAAACTATATATTATATTTATTTTCAAAATATTTTAAAAACTATACAATATATAAATGTTTTCAAACATATTTTCAAAACTATATATTATATATATATTTTTTAAAAAATGTTTTCAAACTATATACAATATATATATGATAAAATAAAAAAAAGAAAACAAAATAATTTCGGGCGAAAAATGAGTCTACATATGTTTCGGAGATTTTTTTCATACTCATCCCTTACGGATCTATGCGGGTTTCGGTTAATCCCCATCCAAAAAATAAACAAACATTTTTTAAATCAATGCAACACTTAAAACTTGTACGATATATCAGATTATCTAAATGATATTTATCTATAATATAAAAGTTTCAAACGTTAATATTCATCTAACATCAGATGTATATATACAATCTTAACTATTTTAAATCTCAACAAATCAATGTATATTAAATAAGAAAAGATGTAAACTTCAATTTAGTTCATTTGAGATGTAACAGTAACAACACGTAATCTCACATATATTTTCGAGAATCCCCATAATTATTTTACAAAATATCAAAGATCCATAATATCATATTTTGGGATCTTCACGGTTCAATTATTCCCACGATTTAGATATAGTAATATCTATCCCATCTCAGTTTAAGCTTCGGGATAAATTTTCCTATCCTATCCCTGTGAGTAAATATTTCAATTATTTCCTATTCTCGTCGATTCAAATCCCCACAATTTTCAATTTTTCCACACCTAATTGCCGTCTATCCTAACTCCATAGGAGAAAAGTGGAGAGAAAAGTGAAACGTGGGGAAGACAGATATTTTGTAGATGACG